ATCATTGACTAGACGGCCGTCGCGGAACGACCCTGCCGGCTATGAGAATGATGCACCCTCTGCTGCCGAAGGTCAAGAGCAAACACGTCTTCATAGTGTACTTACACTATGAAGCTCGAGATCGCCGGGTATCTATTTTTGACTCGTTCGGCCAATATCACTCAGCTTGTTTATATTTCCATCATATCACACCTTGAACCGCTGACGCGATGTCAACATGAGGAGAGAATCATCTAATCATTGGCGGACAGATCTACTCCGATTTTCTCACGGATAGGGGATCAACCGGAAACCTCTGGTCACCGATGATCAGAAGATTTTGTCCCGGAAAGCGGATCCGACAAGTGGAGGAAGGGAAGCATCATTCTTATCAACGGTGAACTCTTCGCTAAGGAACATGTTCATCGCCGGATTATCGGATCAATTGACGAACCTATGTTGAAGTGTCACGAAACAATGCCACGAAACAAAAGTGCCACAGACCGGCCCGCTATCGGTCTGTGGCTCGGAAACCTCTGAGGAGCCTCCGCGAGCCTCCGAAACAATGAACTCTCACTACCGAAGACGGACTCGAAGAGTGCCGAGACTGTTCTTCGCTTCGAAATTGTTTCTTGCTGAATTCGAGGATTCACGATGAAGAGTTGCAGCGTCGCAGCCCTTGCCGCCGTCGAGGAATAACCCAATTATATGAGCTGTCAAGGGCTGAATGGGATCGATCGCAACTCTGACTCCATCGACTCGTTCCATGGCATCCTTCTTCCTTCAACTTCTCCGCTCGAGCGCTCGGCTGCCGACTCGCCCAGCGAAGTCGACCCGACTTTAAATCAGGTCAGAATGATATGCTCTCCTTATAAAACTTCTAGACTAGCCCGAGGCGTTGGGGACTATCCCTAAAACTTCATTCCGCTCAGATTGCTCTTTGTCTGGTCCTAGAACGCCTACGAGACCTCGGATGAAGTCGGAGAAAGTTGTCTCTACCCTCGCACCGCTTCGGTAGTTCGCTGATCAGTTTCTTTTGGAGAGTCGACAGTGGGGAAGTCTTTTCCGAGGGATTTGCTCTCGGAGTCGGACTGTCGAAAATCCCCCGGCGTTGGCGGAGGGATCCAACCTCCCTTCTCATTGTGTGTAGGCTTTGAGAATGACTCCCCAGCCTGAAAAAGTGTTTTCGGTTCGCCGGTCACATGGACAAGACTGCGGACAGAGACTCTGCTTCTTCTGGTGAAGGAAAGGGGGGGGGGTCTGCGAGGAAGATCGCCGCCCCATTGAGGGACGAGTCGAGCGGGTCATTTCCTTCGGAGTACCTACTGAGGAAGATATCTCTAAATCAATCTGTGAGCATAATTCCCCGTCCTTACGCGTCTCGAATCGTCCTCAGAGTCCAAAATCGTTCTCGATCCCTGGATCTGGGACGTGACCCGACTCGTGGCGAAATTCAGTCTAAATATGGATTTGGTAAAGAATGTCGAGACTGAGAAAAATTTTTTTTAAGCCGGAACGAGAGCTAAGGGAGGCGAACTCGAAGGCGGAACCTGACTAGGGAAAAAGAGAGGCTTCGTCATTGCTAGCAGAGCGCTTCTCCGATCCTCAAATAATAGTATCGGGAATGGGATCTCCAAGTCTCTCTGTTTTGGTGACATTCAAGGGTCGAGAGCCGTCTCGGGGTTGGTTCTGTTAGGGCGCACTCGACGTTGACTTCGGAATGATGGCTGAACGAAATCCCCCGAGCGAGACTTGACAGCCGGGCGACTCAAATTACTCTGTTCCCGATCGTGTCCCCGAGTGTTCAGAGGAATAATTCTTCGAAATTTCAATAGAAAACACTTCAATTTCGACCGGTCAAGCGACGAGCAGCTATGGGTCATGCAGACGTCCGTTGCCATACGATGGAATCGGGCAAAGCCATTCCGACAGACGCGATTGGTTTGGCTTCTAACCGTATGCCATCGCCCCTATCGCACCCCGACGCCGACGCCGAGGCTGCTCCGGGAAAATGTCAACAGACATAGAGAATTCCTTGGAGCGTGGCTCTGTGGACCTTGAGGTTGGAGTCTTGAGAGTGATTCGATTGAACGAGGGCTCGGACGCGGAGATCCACGGTGGAATGATTGGAAAATTTCATCTGTGGATCGTGGTAATCGAGGCAAAAAGCTCTCTGTTGGACGTTATCCGAGACCATCCGAGTTGGCCAGGAGAAAAATGGCTGATGCATCAGACGTCATTCGTTCGATAAAAATTACACACTACCGTAAGCATGACGGTGAATCATGAGTGTTCTAGCCCCCAAGGAGCTCATTATCCAAGCGTGATGGCTCATGCGGGTTACGTGCCAGCATCGCGGCGGCTGAACGTGAGCCGGACCTCGACCGTGAAGCGATCCGCCAATGTGCGTGGAACGCTGAGCTCTCCGAGAGACCCGTGGACTCCTTGACAAGGAGTCGGGAGAACACCAGCTCGTCTTCCAGTCTGGATTCTCTCCAAATAACGGCAATGTCAGCAAGATCCCTCGCTGATTCACTAATTGTAATGGAAATGCACGACGTCCCTCAAACGAACAAAGGACGTTTGGGATGCCGGCGACGCGGAAGCCAGACCGCAGACCACGACGGAGGGAGGGCTCGACTAGACCAGCGCCGACACGGCTCGAAGTTTCTACTGCTTGGTATGCCGAGCCCGTGAATGTGCCGAGCGTTTTTCCCTGGCGGTTACGCTGGCTCCGTCCCGCCCCCGTCTGTCTATTCCCCGACACGCACCTCTCTGTCTATTCCCCGACTGCTGTCGAAACACAGGGTTCTAAAAGTCAGGAGAACACAGGGTGGGATACCGCCCTGACGCAGGAAGAAACTGTCCCTTTCGAGTCCATTCAGGGCTTTATCATTGTGTATGCGAACACTTTCCACGTGAGCCTCCATCTCACGTTTTTCTCTCTCCAATGGGTAGCGTGAGGAAAATCCAGTTCTGCGAGTGAGCGAGCGAGCGCACGCCTCAACTGAGCAACAATCTATTATATCAACGATCAATCGAGCTCTCTATGGCGGTGTTCAAGCTCGATGGAGCATACTGAGTGAGTCGCAGAAAATATCCGGTAGAATGGGAGCGTAGACAATCTCGTAAAAGCGTGGCTAGAAGCAAGTCACGTTAGATGGCTCTCCGTCTGAAAGCGACCCAGCGACCGGGGACGACTAATTGGACAGCCACGAGCTTTCAATCAGGTGCAGCGACTCTCTCGAAACGGCAACCGTGCGAAGTATCGACTCGTTGATCTTGACAGGCGATGGCCGCGAAAAATCGCTCGACTCGCTGTATCGAAAACCTATTAAGATGGATCCACTCCATTGGACGGGGCTCGAATTGAATCGGCAGGTGGCGGGGCCTGCGTGCGCAGGTGTTGCATTGTCGGGAGAAGCTTTTTCCTCTCGATCCCCGAACGAGCTGTTCTCCAGCCGTGCGTTCCCCGACTCATTCAATGATTCATTTCTTTTTCGTTCCACCGCAACGACACAATCGTTTACGTCTCCATCTCAGTAGCTCGTCGTTGGGCTTGCCTCCTCCCCCCCTGCCCGTGTGCAGCTTTTCCCTCGAGGGACAAAATCTAATGTTCGAGGCGACTGTGGATCAAGCGGCTTCGTCGTCATCATCATCAAACGAGGGAGGGAGAGGTGTGCGTTTACGTAATGTCTGGCTGAGAGCAGCCCGTATGTTCCCGTTGTCGTCGAGCTTTTGCGGCCGAAGAAAATGTCGTCGCTGCTGCCGGCGGAGGAGATGCTGACGATCTTTTGCGAGCTGTACAATATAAGGCAATCCAAGAATAGGCCAACAAGTGCTGCCGCGTCGGCTGCTGTGCTGGGCGCTAGGCCCGGCAAGCGAGCGAGTGTGCTCGCGAGGTATCAGCAAGCAGCCAGCCAGCCAGCAAGCCGACTGGCTGACTTGCTTCTAGGTTGGCAGAAAATGCGACAGTGATCGATAAAGACGTTGCTTCCATTTCCAAAGGGGATATAGGAAAACGATTACAGCTGCCAACGAACACCGAGGAGCATCACGACCGCGAGACGGAGGGACCGGATCGGTGAGAAGACGAAGACCGGTCGCTTTGATATCAGCCCCTGAGCGACGAGAAATCGCTGGAAACCGCTGTTGGCAACTCGGCGGATCTCCGTTCGTACGTACTCAACTCGTGAATAATAATTTATTCATCCTACAGATATCTATCAATTGCGGGAGCGATCGGGGAAGAAATCGCTCCCACGATTCGTTGTGATTAGACCGGGCCGGGAACCTTTTTCCGACGTGTCGTCCCGGTGAGTGGAAGCTTCCGTTCTCATTGGGGAGTCCATGAGTGTAAACCGGTCTGTCGCGAACGAGCACGGCCACAGGAAGGATCCTCAAGTCCGGTCCCCGATGGGCGTAGGCTGCGCCAACACGACCACCGTTGCCGCGAGAGCAGAGCTGGGTAACTATAGACTCGCGCTTGGTCAGCCAGGCAGGCGCAGGCAGGCGACCGTGAGGTACCTGATATCCATAGCTGCTTACGATTCAGTCCGCCAGGCTCACCGTCTACCGAATCCGGAACGACCTTCGCCAGCAATAATAATCAGAAGTTGTTTTTCTGAGGCCGCGAGAAAGGTCCCGAAGTCGCTTGATTCCTCAACAATTCTGTCTTTCCGGCGATGACCCCGAGCGCGTGGCCCTCCGACAATCCACTCGCGGTTTTTTGTGTTCCGCCCAGGCTCGAGGAGAAGAATGCATCGCGATATCCCGAAGGCCCACGAGGCTCCCTCCAATGACAGGACCTCGGCGGCATGACACCGTCAACGTATCCGTAGTCCAACAATGATCGACGATCGGGTGAGTGTGGGGGGGCGACTCCTACGCCTCGGCAGAAACGATTGCCTGCATTCGTCATGCGTCTCGAGGCCCCGGCACGTCTTCTCTTCTAATAGGATCTGTACGCTAATATTTAATGAGATCACTGTCGAAATTGCCACAACTGGCTGGGTTCTCACCTCGTCATCGTACATGGGATAAGCGTCCGCCATGGTCTATTATCAGCAGTGGTCCGCTTGGCGTTCCGTTTCTTTATTCGTCCAGAATAGACACAGAAGTTGACAGAAGACACTGATGATAACGGTGAATTAGGCGGATTTCGGCGGAACGGTGAAGGCAGCGACAGCAGCAGCTGCGTCAGCAGCGGTTATTTCATAAGCATAACACTTTCAGATATTCCGTCGTAGTGTCATCACACCGCAACGAGCACACAGCGAGGCAATCTTATTGTGAGACGTTCCTCTCTCTATTTCTCATCCTCGGGGTATCACCGAAAAGCACGACGTCGGGAATGTGATGCAGCGCTGCAGCAGTGTTTTCGGTCGATGACGTCTCAGCTGAAGGCTGCGTGCTTTCCGTGAGCACCGATCAGCACGTTTCAATTCAACGTCCGTCGCCCTGGTCCCACCGACTCGCTCGGGGCTCTGTCGTTCCGATTCTTGAAGTTCCTTCGATACGATTTCGCTCCTTCACACAGGAACGTCACTCTCGGCGATCACAGAAGCGCAATTATCCAAAGCAGTTTTCCGTCCTCCACAGGTTCGGAATCGTGTATACATACAGGCACGACGACAAAAGCAATGACGTCGGTGGAGACGACGACGACAGCGGCAGGAGAATCGAAGAGAGCCCTCTCGGTGGACTCTGTCACGCGTTGAGTGCAAGCAGAATCAGAACCACAATCGAGAGAAACCAGAGGCGGACGAGAAGTCACACGTTTGAAACGAGCTTTTGACACGACCCTGGGCACGGGCAAAACATCGAGGAGTCACGGTTCCGGGGTATGGAAGCGGGGTACTTGTAGAGACGACGTCGGTACCTGTCCGCGTCGGATCGATGTGGGCTTGCTGATCAACTTGCTCGGGCTACGGTGATCCGAGGGGTCCAGTGACGGAGGGAATCGAATCCGGAGGGGTGTAAGAAGCGACGTCGGATGGATGATAGTGGATAGATGAATGAACCAATGAAGTAGTAGCTGCCTTGCAGACGAGACGCGCAACACGATCACCAGGACCGAGCACAACCTTCGAGCAGCTAGCCAGCGCTTTCAGGGGCGCCGGACAACATCGACGACGACGACGACAAGCGACAGGTCTTGTTTCTCGAGCACTCTGGTCCTCAGCGCTCAGACAGCAGGCACTCAGGTCTCCCTGAGAGTTTGCTGCAGCTCTCCGGTCTCTCCCTCACTGGTCGCTGGCGCAGGCGCAGACCACCGACTAGGGACAGAATGCAACGGTTGTAACGGAACTTGTCCACGCATTTTCCGGCCATATCTTGTAACTTCGGGAGCCTAAAAACGTGGATTTTGGGATAGATTCGAGATTTTCCAGAATCCGGGAGGCCTTCCGGACGAGGGAGCGCGGGATACGGTCGCTCGAGCGAGCGGAACCGCGACCCTTTCCACGAAGCGTTCGAAATCTTTCCACGCGGTCAGCCTGCCCGCTCGCTCAGTCAGTCTGCCTCACGGCTTGTCTCTTCGCCCGCCCGCCTGCCCGCTCGTTCACTCGTCCGACAGCCTGTTTGCCCTCCGATAATCTCTCACGTTGATACCGATTTTTTCCAGGGAGCGTATTCATTCAGGAGGAGGTCGACAGGCTTCGTTAATATAAGCGATCTATCTATGACCTCGGCACACCGTCAATGCAGTGAGATTCCTTCCCCTGACGTCCGAGGGGGGACCCGACGGATTCGTGATCGATGGCTTGATTTTTGTCCTTCGAGAAAGCTATCGATATCTACACCGACGTCTGTGAATAAGTCACGGGGCTGCTGCCAGCTGAGGCGGAGAGTTGTGGCATGGGAACGCAAACCTGGACTCTGAGGGAGACAAGCCTCGCAAGGATTCCAAACAAGTTAGCGATGACTCGGCAAAAAGTTTCCCTCCGTGTACATTTTCTGTGCGTGTAGCTTCGAGTCGCAAAGGAACAGCAGGGATGGGACTAGCTATACACGCCAGTGAGGCGGCCTCATCGTTTCAAACACGACTTGGAATCGACCTGCCACTCGGATAAATGTCGGTGAAACCAGCGGATCGCTGACAGTCAGCTGTGTGATCGCACGTCGTCAATAATCACTGGGCCGCCTTCGCCCAAGTCCCGGTGAGGACCCTCCCTCGGATTTGTGGTCACTCCATGATGATCACTTCAATTTGAGCGATATGATTGGAGTTCATACAGGGAGTTTCGGGGGAGCAGGGTGTCTCTGGACGAAAGGTGAATGTATTTAGGTTTCAATGAAGAACTCCACGAAACGTTGGGTGCCTTGATTTTCGACCAGGTCTTTGAGGAGAGTCGAAAGTTCGTGGCCTCCCTCCTAGGACACACTGAATACCTAATCGAACGATAGTTCCTCGAGCTGATTTCGGAAGGTGAGGCAAGAGGGGGACCGCACGAAGCTCTCCAGGACTTCGGTCACGACCAGCTCCCGCCGGAATGTTGAAATATTGAGAGAAAGCTCGGATTCTCTCAGCTCAATCACTTCGAACTAAATCCCATCTCAAGCGGTGGAGATCGTGGGTAGACAGTCAAATATTCAGGGTGATCTCTTCGGACTCAATAGCTCGAAGCAATTCAAGATTATATACATGCTCAGTCCACACTCCGTATGGATGTGATGTGTATGCAGACGGTGAAACAATTAGATACAAGGCTGATGTACATCTTCATTTTGACGCACTCAATCTTGGTACCTCCCTAGACAAAACTCATCAAGTTCATCGCGGTCAGACATCCCATAAATATGCATGAGCCGTCAAGCCGGCGACTTTCTGACCGAGTTGGCACGCTGAATAAAAATTCCTCCCCTGCTCCTCGGTTTCAGGGCTTCTGTTTCCGATGACGTGTTTTGTCCTCCGTCAATATTGTACTTGGTGATCTTGTTGTCCCGTCTCAGCCCACCTCAGCAACCAATGATGAGCGTAGTTCGGGGTTGATCGGTTTCGCTCGCACAAGGGAAGTCAGAGGAGTGCCGAGTGCATTGATAATTTCTCTGATGATTCCAGTCGGGCAAGGATCATTTCTGACCCTTTCGGCCCCCGAGCCCACCGGAGCCCATCGAGAAGCTTTTTCCAGAGAAAACTATCAGGAAAACGCTCATTCACGCAATTCAGGCGAGAGCAGTGCTCGCACGAACTTTCAGCAAAGTCGGCGTCTGAGAGTAGTTGAACTCTGAAACTTCCTGAGGTACCCTCGTAAACTGTTTCTCCCTCCGCTGGTTTACTAGGCTGCTTGTTTGTGTCTAGCTGTTGCATCATGACTGGACAAACTCAGCTTTCGCACATGCTTAAGCTTGCTTCGAGGGCGTCGTCGCCCGCGCAGTGAATCAGATTTCCTTGAGTCAACATCATTTCTGTCAATGGAAGGTGACAGCTAGCTCGAGAAAAGAAAATTTAGTGCGAAGCGATAAGCTTGACGTAATACGAGGTAGACGCTTCTCGAGGAACTAGCAAAATAGGGACGCTATTTGAATATCGATGGTAGGGGTGAAATCGACGGCCCCAGCATGTAGGAATAAGTGGCCACCATGAGTAGAGACCTCAATGATAATTTAGAGGGGCGGAGTTTCCCACTGCCAAGAGCTGAGGCGCTCGGCTTCGGGATTCGGCGCCATAGCTTCCACGGCAGAGCTTTTCTTGGCTCTTTGCTCGGAGTAGCGGGTAAGATCGCCGGAAAAACATTCGGAGAGTCTGTGTAGGTGTGCACGCCGTGAAATTTCGCGAGAGGGATTCTGTGATCGGATGAGGCTATCCCTCGCTAGATTCGCGGACTCCATCATTCCATGGAGTCGAGGCAGAAGTGCGGAGGGTGTCGCAGGACCTTCGTCAGAACTCCCGGAGTCCACGAATGCCGGAATCACCGCCTATACCGTCTCCACCATGCCCGTGGACCACGGGACGGAGTTTGTCCTTCTCGTGTGATAGCAGCGATTGTCTCGAGTAGTTTCGTACCTATGCGGAGACTTAGTTGCCTCACTTTTATCAGGAGGAAAAAAGCCGACTCAATGTCATCCATTCGCAAGTGAATCTCTCCGGAAACGATCTCCGTAAAGGAAGGTTACGAAAGCAATTATAACACTAGTGAAGAATTCTCATACGTCGCCTCACTCGTCGCTCGAGGGCTTTTGATCAGAGCGCCGTTTCTCGCCCCGAGGAGATTCTTCGACTCCGCTCGACGGGATTCACGCGCTTCCAGTTGATCTCTGACCATCAAATCCACCATATTGTGGAGCGGAACTCAATCGTATGGTCGGCATCCGATATAACCCTCGATCGATCCAGGACCGTGAGAGTGAATCTGTTGACGGAAATTCGGATCGTTGTACCTGCAGCTCCGTGGAATGCCTCGCTTTCCTCGAGAACGATATTCGTCCCTACTTGCTGGATCAGGAAAATGTGATCCGCCTTTCAACCGAAAGCGTATCAGAGAAACCCGGAGTGAACACCATTCCGAAATTCACAGATGATCCTCGGAGCTGCCAACAGCCGAGAGCGGGCAACAGCTGACGACAGGTTGGGAGCCTTCTTTCGAGAGCCCACGATTTTCTAGCGTTAGCTTCCTTCTCCGCGACGAGCTCGCCGGCGACCGGCAATCATGTGCCGGCAGTGCCGGCTCGGACGGCGGCCATCTGCGTCCATCTTAATTGATGAAGGGCGCAGCATGAATTCGGGACCTTCAGAGAGAAAGCATCGCCCATCGGAGAAATCCTTGGAGAGGCATACCTGTCATCGAGTGCCCCGGACGTGCCGCGATGAGATGTATTTCGTTGATTCGATTCAGTAGGAAGAGAGAATGTAAGGTGTAGATCTACCGAAAATGGTTCCATCGATCGATGAGATCTCGGAAAGGGCGGCTAAATTCCTTGCAGATAGCCCGGGTCTAGTGCACATCGAGAAATATTCAGTGATATCCTACAACGACTTCTACCCATTTTCACTGATATAACTGGAACAATACATTTAATACAATACATTTTTCCCTCTCAATCAAAAATAGCTTCCGGCGCACTACGATTCACGTTCTCGCATTCGGTGAGCTCGGCTACACGCAGCCGTCATCAAGTGCCTTAGAATGCCTTGGCATCGGT